ATGATCATATATGGTTCTAAATTGAATTATATGACCCCAAGATGTATTCCCTAAAATCTCAAGGTTTTTCGACACCGTACCCAACTTCAAAAAATTCTCAAAAAGCGTGGATATAAGCCCTCAATTTTTGAATTATTTGACTTTTTTCGCCCGGAAATAAAAATTGCCGAAATTTTTACCATGATCCTTAATACCTTTCGGGAGGCCAATTGGATGGGTGGAACCATCCAATTTTCCTTTAAATGGCAAATTTACTGGTTTACAACTTGCACCGATTTCATTAATTCAAGCCTACCACGAACATTTACGACAACATATAATGATTATATATGGTTCCAAACGGCTTATATGACCTCGAGATGTATCCCATAATTCTTAAGGGTTTCGACACCGGGCCCCGAAACCTCCAAAATTACTCTAAAAGCGTGAAAATTAGCCTTCAATTTTGGAATTTTTTTGACTTATTTTCGCCCGAAAATAAAAAAATTCCGAAATGTTTACCATGGTCCCTAATAACCTATGGGCGCCAAATTGGTTGGGTGGAAATCAGGTTGACCGGAACCCGAATAAATAAGGTTAGGGTTAGGATTTATGACTCGAAAAATTAAATGGGGCAGGTTCAGGTCAGGGGTTTTTGACCATAAACCAAAATGACCCGAATCCGAAATGACCCAACCCGACCCCGATTGCCACCCCTACTTTAAACGACCAATTTACCGGTTTACAACTTGCACTGATTTCATTAAGTCAAGCCAACCACAAACTAACATTTATGACAACATATAATGATTGTATATGGCTCCAAATGGCATTATATGACCCCGAGTTGTATTTCCTAGAATTTCAATACTTTTTGACGCCGGGCCTCGAAACCTCCAAAATTTCGCAAAATACGTGGATATTAGACTTCAAGTTTGGAAATTTTGAACTTTTTTTCGCCCGGAAATAAAAATTGCCGAAATGTTTACCGTGGTCACTAATATGCTCCGGGAGTCTAATTGGGTGGGAGGAACCATCCAATTTGCCTTTAAACGGTCAACTTACCGATTTACAACTTGCACCGATTCCATTAACTCAAGTCTACCATGAACATTAATGACAACAAATAGTGATCATATATCATAACTAAAATTCGGCCATTTTGCGACTGCCTCTGACGGTCGTTGAAAATAGCAAAAACGGTCGTTGAAAATGATTGCGGCCGTCAACGGTCGTAACGTGGTGGTCGTTATTTACATGGTCGCAGAAAACAATAATTACGGCCGTTTGACGGTCGTCGATTTTTTACGACCGTTTTTAATATTTCAACGACCGTTAGGTAAACGGTCGCAAAAATTAAATTTTACGACCTTTTTTATAAGCAATTGCAAATTTGAGAATTAGCGACGGCCAAAGGCGGTCGCTAAAAAGTTTTAAAAAAAAAAATCCACCCACATCCTGTAATCCGCAGCCAGGGATCCCACCACCCAAACCAACTGTACCCAACGCTACTACACACCACCATCACTTCCCACCTAATCCACCACCACCACCCTAAACAACATTGACCCACCATCGTCGCCCACCCAAACAGCCACCACCGCTACTTCACCTCAACCCACCGGCTCTCACCCGAAACACCCTCAACACACAACCACCAAACGCCTCACCCAAAAAACCCTCAACCCACAACCACCCATCGCCTCTCACCCGAAACCACCTTTACCCACCAAACACCTCTAACCCAAAACCTCTTTTTTTTTTTTTCTTTTATACAATTGAATAAAAATATCTTATATTCATCTTCAACCTATATTATCTTAAACCACCATATTCAACCTACAAAATTCATTCTTCTGGTTCAAAAATTAATTAAATTCTTATATTTTGTTTAATTTCATAATTACATTAATCATCATATAATCAAAATTTTAGCTTCATATAATCGTTTTTCCCTTTATTCATGGAGTACAAAATCAATGGAAAACTGCGTTAATAATCTCTTATTGTAGTCTCTTCACCCCCACCCTTTCAAGTTAAAGTAATTTATTTAATGATTCGAATAATAATTGTTTTAGTATTAGTCAAAATTATATTGTGCTTGAGTTTGATATAATTTCAAATTCATCTGCAATTGGATTTTTTTTTTGAATAGCAATCCGCCATTGTTAAATATTAAAGTTGAATAAAGGTTGAAGATGAGTATAGGTTGAAGATGAATAATATTGTTTTATTTTTTTTAAAAAAAATTAAAATTATGTAAAAAAAAAACTACTAAAGTAAAAAAAAAAAAAAAAAAAAAAAAAAAAAGTGAACAGGACATTTCAGACTTTAGAGGCATGATTTTAGGTAAACTTACTTTCTTTCTTTTTTTTTTGAAACATAGAGTGATTTTTTGGAATATTTTTAACAGAATATATGTATCCTTTTTTATCTCAAGTTTGAAGAAACTAATTAGCTAAAAAAGATACTGTACAATTATTTACCCCAAAAAAATTAATTTTTTTTTTTTGCAAATAAAAATTGAAACTTACGTTGTAGTGGTTTCAAAAAGTAATTTTTTTTTTTAGGGGGAAAAAATAGTTTCCTACTTTCCTTGAATCATGGTAATTTTTTCCCCTAAATTTATCCTTAATTATCTTTGCCCAAAAAAATTACAGTATTAAAATAATACATTGTTGAAAGGATATTCAATGGCTATACAAATATTGTGGCCACTATATTGAATGGGCACTATATTTTTTTTTCTCATCAATATGTTCAGCTTAGACAACATTTTCTGTTATAACCCCATACTTTTGGAATACTTCTCTCTGTGGTTGATAACTTTTCCATAAGACTACTCCATATACTAAAAAAAAGGAAGAAAATTCAAACAATTCTCTTCACCTCAATGCACTTCACATGGTTATCATTAATTTGTTTTTCTATTTCCAACCACTCCAAGCGTAATATTCTCTTTATATCGTTATCATAATTAAATTGGACAAATTTTTAAATAAATCGGATGTACAATAAATATTGTAATCCGTTATAAAGTTATCTCTAAATTGAGTAAAAGTTACCCTAATATGAATAAAAGTTACCCTAACATAAATAAAAGTTACAAAGTATTTATGCATTGTTAACAAAAGTTACTAAAAAAATTGTAAAAGTGACCCTTAATTTAATAAAAAGTGACCCCCGATACACAGTAAATTACTGTACATCGGATGTACACAAAAGTTATTCATTAAATTGTAGGTAATAAACATTGCATAATCAAAATACAAACTATTGTGTGAGGCAAGCACATTTTTTTACTTCGGATGATATTATCCAACTGTTTATTGGATGTGATTAATTGGTTGGATGATATTATTAATTGTATAATATTTGATGGATGTTATCATTTAAAAATGGCTCTAAGTTGTTTTTTGATGTTTAGAGAACCATAAGATTGGGGTGAGTAGGGATGACAATTTAATCTGGGTTCGATTCGAGTCCAATTCGATCCGAAGGAAAAAATTAGATCCGAAACCGAAATTAAAAAAAAAATCCAAATTCGAATCCGATAAAAAAGTGCGAGTCCTAATAGAATTCGGATCGGATTCGGACCCTGTAAAGAGTCCGATCCGTGAAGAGTTCGATCCGAGTCCGGTTATTTTATGTATATGGGCTGTAGAAATATGCTAACTATAAAAGCCCAAGTGGAAACCCTAAAACTTTTTCAGCCGGACCACTTGAGCTATGATGGAAAAGTCACCTATAATAATATTACAGTTAGAAGAGATCAGATGGATCACATGCATGCATACTCGGTTGTAGTCATACTTTACCGTATTTTGTTAACATATAACGTCACATATGTAGTATCTTATGGGTAAAAGACGTTCTACCAATTTACTTAGTGGTCATACTCTACACGAATTGAAGTTCATTGATTCCTTCCATCTTCTCCAATATAACAACTCACATGCAATGTAACATTTTCATGAAAATTGTATTGGTCCATAGCATAGCTCCAGTCGTACAAGTTAATGAATATTTGTCTTGTTCAATATGGCATACAATTTAATGTTTAAACTTACCAAGTACGACCACGACGACCATTGACTATTCAAGTCAATTACATGATCACTTTAATTTTGTGCAAATTGTAATCAATCAATTCAATGCCACAATGTTGTACTGTAAGGAAGAAAATTCAACATTTGCATGGAATTTGCTATCCACCACTTAACGTACTCTTGATAAATATCTAACTAGAGGACCATTATTTATATGAATGGAAATGACAAGAAAAAGTAATATTATTATACCATAAAGCTGGCTAATTGTATGGGTTCGTGATCTTGACTCGTTATAATAATTTAAAACGCCCTTTCAATTCATCACTCTCACTATCGATCAATCGTTGTATTTATTGAGCCACTTGTAGGACAATTCTTAAATTTGCTTGTATCTTTTATTTGTATGTCTTTGCTTTGTTTGTCTAGTTTTAATAATTCTTGGTACTCTTCTTTTACTTTTCTTCATTCCTACTTTTCTAGTCACTTGATTTGTTTCACTCTCAAAGAAAGCTAGTATTGAAAGGATGTTGTTTGGTTTCTTTTGTAAAAGCAAAAGTCTAGTAAACAAAAGCAAAGAGATATAAAGTAAGAGATTTATTTTAAAAGTGACGTAATTTTTTTAAAAAGAAGAATAAAAGGTTGTCATAAAAGTAATAAAATAAAAGTGAGTAGAATTTAGATCGAATAACTAACGAAAATCTAAAGTGAGTCGAACAAAATTAGAAAAATGCGGGGTTCAGTATTCCTTTCCACCTTTATTTTTTTGAGTCAATTTTTTTAACCTTATTTCTATGCAATTATTTTAAGAAAAATAAGCTCAGATAAGATAGGAAAAAAAAAATCTTACAAAGGTTTTGACAATCGAAATTCAATTTAAAACTTATTAATTTATGATAATTTCATATAAATGAATTTAGGTGAATATAAAGCGCACTTTAGAGACATGTTTGTTATTGCCTAAACCAAACCTTAGAAGAAAATTACTACTCGTTAACAAATATTTTGTTCAAAGGATGAAGTGATTTGTAATGATGATGTATATATCTCTTATACATGGCAAAAATGAAAAATTACATGAAAGTTGTTTATAATATAGCAATATAAATAGTTTCTTGTAAAAAAAAAAATGGAATAGATTCATCTTGCTGTCGGATGAGTGATCTCAGAAAAGACTGAACCAGGTTTGGAATGAGCAAGATAATCCGAAGATGAACTCGTCGTAGATTTACTGTTACTGTCCATAAACTTCTTTGAAGTACCTTCGACAACACTACTTTGAGAAAAGTTATCTCCTGAGTTCGTCGATATATCATTATCTGTAAAACCAACATCGATAGCACTTAGATAACTAATACTTAGATCGAAACTTTCATCCGGTGTACCATTTGCGATGTTGTTATCTTCGGCAGTTTCTTGAAGTTGTAACGCAAACTCTAACCCCCACACTACGTCTCCCATCGAGGGACGCTCGATCCCTCGATCACGAACACACATGTTAGCTATCTCACCGAACTTCCTTAGACTCTCGGGTGCAATCTGCCCCGTAAGGTTCGGGTCTACAATAGTATGGAGGGTTCCTTTTTTGTAGTGACTTCGTGCCCATATTGCTAAATTTGCTTGTTGTTTAGGAAGGTTTGGGTTCACTGCAGCGCGAGCACATAAAACTTCGAACAAGACTACTCCAAAGGAGTACACATCGGATTTCTCCGTCAATTGGTGACATCGATAGTATTCAGGATCTAAGTACCCTGCACTCCCTTTGACCGCGGTGCTAACATAAGTAGCACCCGCTTCAGTATGGTCAGGTCCAACCTTGGAGAGGCCAAAGTCGGAGACTTTGGCCGTCCACTTTTCATCGAGAAGGATGTTGGTAGACTTAACATCGCGGTGGATGATAAGGTGTTTTGCACCCGCATGGAGATAATGTAGGCCGCGAGCTGAACCTAAGCAAATCATTAGGCGTTGCTTCCATGACAATGATGTGTGACTTATTTGAGGGTTATGCTTATACAACAAGTGATCTCGTAGGGTGCCATTTGGCATGTACTCGTACACGAGGATCATCTCACCAAAGTCTTCACAGTATCCAATCAAGGACACCAAGTGCACATGTCTTAGCCTCGACAACATCTCGATCTCAGTTTGGAACTCATGAGCTCCTTGCTTTGATGTCGAGTTAAGGCGCTTGATAGCCACAGTAGTGTTTCCATCATCGAAAGTACCCTTGTAAACTTTTCCAAACCCACCAGTTCCTATAATAAGGTCTTTGTCGAAATCACGAGTGGCGGCCTTAATTTGGGCTAATGTGAAATACCGGCAAAGATCAGACGGCAGTTTAGAAGCCACACTAGCTGTAGTTACCGTGGAGCTGGCGGAATCATATAATGGTAATATCCACTTTAACTTGCTACTCTTCTCCGTGGTGGTTGTACTCACGTATTTTTGCTGCTTCTTATTCCTTCGATATATGATGATAAGACATACAAATATCAAAAGTGAAACTAGAGTCGCTCCAAGGATGCTTCCGATGATTAGAGGCAAATGTTTTGATTTTGCTGGTGTTTGTGTACTAATAGGAGCTTGTATCATACTTTTGGAGGGAGCAGGATTTGGTGCAGCAAGCGAACCACTTGTTGAGCTCAACTTGAAAATCTCCAGCCCATTGAGCAATGCATCGGCATAGCTAAATGCAACATAAATTACCAAGGATATCAAGTTTTGCAAATTAAAATTGCTTCAGTCAGAAATTAAAGTAAATACTTTTAAATACTCAGATTTTTTTTTAATTTAAAATAAAAATAATGTAGCAATTTTAGCAAGGCATAATCCTTCAAAATAGTTGTACAAAAAATTTTGACATGCAACTGTTGTAAACATATGTTGTACATATACTAAATTATATTAACAAAAAAAATATGTTTGTCTATTTTAATCTACTCGCTTAATTAGCTTAGATGGACACAAAAAGTATGTTATCAAGTTAATTTACACTTATAGATTAGTTGCGTACTTGTTCATTTGATCAATTGTTTGTTAAAAAAAAACGAAATAGAATGAAGAACTTACTGTGTATCAAAGTCGGGAATAAGGGTCACCGAGAGAAGAACTCTGCTCCGGCTACTAGTTTCATTGACAAGAATTACAAAATCTGTATGAATTGGAATGTACAAGCCGCCAGCAACACGAAGGACATCCATATTTTGCCAGGCCATTTGATTGTTGATGTATATAGAGAACAATCTACGGTTAATATTGTTGAAGAAGGTAGGGTCTAACTCACAAAAATGGAGTCTCACCAGATAATTAAATCCATTATCAACCTCGAACTCCCATGTCATGTTCTTCTTTAGGCGTTTGATATACGGCCCCATCATCCTCATCGTGGAGTAGACTAAATTAGGCGCTAGTACTGTGTAAGGGATGTGTGTACTAGAATTGTGAATGGCTGTGTAGCTTGGGGTGCCGTCAAAAGAACTGTAAATCAACACAAGAAAAATATTTAATGTTGTAACATAACATGATTCAAATTAAAACCACTTTCTTTATACAAATATTTTATGAGAGTTAAATTAATTAAAGATATTATAATTCAAATTTCCCATTAGATGATGTGCTAAACAATAAGTTTTGTGTAAGACGGGTGTACATTAATTTCATTGTAAGACGGTCAGTTTAAGGGTAACTTTAACTATTTTTATGGTAACTTTAACCCCTTAAAGTGTAACTTATAATTGTATCTTATAGTTTCATGATTACATACTATAAAAAACTAATACTTGTAAGATAAATTAATATACACTCGTCTTTTTGGAGAATTTGGGAATAAACAATACAAGAGAAAGAGAAGTAATTACCGCACAAAGTTAACGTCATTGTACCAAGTCCGGTCAATCCCAGTGTCTTGAGAAGGATCCACAGTGTATCCACCAACATTCAACCGTATAACATTTTCCATAGCTAAAGAGTTTGGAAAATCATAAGGATCCAACACATAACCTGGAGGACCACCTTCTAGATAAAGAACTTGTTGCGGGTTATCCGATGACCGGTTAATGTACAGCCATTGAGGCACAGATATAATCTCTACGCTGTTGATGAACCCGAACCCATTAGGACTGCTTGGAGAGAAGGTTAAGTTGATAGATTTTTTACTATGATCTCGTTCTTCTGCTACGGTGACGTAGATCTCCCTCACAAGGCCATTACTTACTTGCGCTGTGGTATTTGGGTTGGCATTAGCGTTGGAAGCAACAAGGTATGCGCTAAAGTTGCGTAGTACTTGGAATCCATTTATTATGAGGTTGAGGGAAGATGTACTGGTGTCGATAACGGGGTTATAGATTGTCGAGGTTGGTGGGTATAAGTAGAGGCGGACGAGTTTAGGCCCCGAAGAATTGACGGGAATGGAATAAGTGACAGTGGCTCGAAACATTCTGGCCTTGTCATATGGTGATTTGACCCCCACCGCCGTAGCTGATGTGTTAGCAGCTACGGCGGATGGTGGATCAACGAGAAAATCTTCGTCGCTTCGCCATTCAAGGGATTGGTCAAATTTAGAGAGGCCAAATTTGATAAAACAATGGTCTTTTGGATGGTACGATTCATTATGTTGGTAAGAGGTAGCAATTGGTAGGAAGAGGAGTAGTGAGAAAATTGAAGGGAGAAGTTGAGGGTAGATAAGCATGGTTGATTGAATTATCTGCACAAGAAAATTAAATTAATGATGGGTATTGGGTAGTGCTAATTAGGATTCTGTGGTATTGAAATTTAAGGCTAGTATTAGCAGAGAGTTTTTGGTTTTTGGTTCATCTCTTTTACTCTGGAAGTCAATGTTTTTCTACGTTTACTATTCAACTCTATTATATGGAGACGAGTCAGGTGGTACAGAGTAAAATCTAATTTTGTGTATGTATTTTTAAAATTAGCTAAGAAAAGTCTTAATTTGCTACTTTGCGTGTCATTATTTTTTTCTTTGTTTTTTTTTTTTTAAAAAATAAAAAAATAAAAAAAATCAGTTATATTCTTTATTGAATCCTTACCATGATGCCAATTATATAAACATAACAGGATTTTAATTTGAAATTAAAAAAAATATATATATAGTTTGATTAAATTAATTTTTTTGGTTTTTACAAACATCAACATAATGATAAATTGATAATGTTAATTGGTGGCGTTGCTTGGTTTATAGGCTTAGAGAAATTGAGATATTGTCATATTGAGATGCATCCGTATCGGTTTGTTGTGTGTCCAAAACAACCCTGCAGACAGACCAATTATATCTTCAATTGAACTTATGCTCAGTAACAATTCTGTCACTCTTCAAGCACCATCACGCGGCCTGCATTTTTTTACACACAGCCAGTGTCTATCCAATATGCATTCCCAGCCAAGCCGTAGATTTGAAGGTTCAGTAAATTATTAAGCCAAGATAATAGTATGTGTATGTAACATATACTACGTAGTACGCAGAGTGTCATTATTTTCGAACCAAGATAATAGTATGTGTATGTAACATATAGTACGCACAAAGTGAGTATAAACTAAAAGAAATGGATATATAGACTAAAAAAAGTATGAAGTGTCATATTCAAATTGAAGTACTCAGGTATTGAAATGATAAAGGGGTAAGTTTGACAAGTTGATCGATGTTCTTATCATTCCATCTTTTTGAATCTACAAACATCATATCCATGATAGATTACATACATTTTATACCAAGCTACCAAAGCATGAACAATATAACAAATTACACTTTCGTTTAGGACACAAATAATTGACATCAGACTATCCCGGTACATTTAATCATCGGATCTAGACCCTGGTGCACGAGGGCATCTCAGGTACGTTTTGCACCTATCAATTGACCCGCCTCCACATAAGCAGTTCCCATAACTATTATTTGCAGTCTTACAGTATGGGCTCAGGCCATTAGTTTTATCGATGCAATTATCGGCAACGACAAGGTTGGTGCTCAAACTGAAAACTAGTAGGATCAACAGAAGAGTTGAAGGGGAGAAACAAGGACGACGAACGAACAGAATGTTACTCTTACTCATGGTGTTTACCTCTCTCGTATGATCGATTTAATTTCTTATAAAAATGGAAAAAATAAGTGTATTGTAGTATGTGATTGGGAGGTTACTTCTGAAGATATAAAATATCAAATGAAGCTTATATAGTGAATTTGATATTTTATACTTTAATTTGATGTCACTTTAAAAATAGATTAACATGATAAAGAAAAAGTTGGTTGTTCGGATAAGAATTGTAAGGTCACTAAATTATAAGGTTCTGTGATAGGCAATTGGCCTTTTATGGTCCCTAGTCGACCATATTGTAGATGCAATAATTATGTAAATAGTACTTGACCCACCAATAATTTTAAGTACTTAGTACAGCTTTTTCTAATAGTCACTTATATATGATCTTTTATTTGATAAGTTAGGCTTCATCCTCAGTGAATAGTAAAGGCAACAAGCTTCACCATTGTTGATTTGCCAAAAAGTGTAGAAAGTTAGTGAGTGAGCATGCATATTATTAACTTTGATGGTATAGTAATAGAGTAGTTTCGTTCAAAACTTTAATACGCGTATAATATTAGTTTCCATGTGCCTAAAAATATCACTTTACTTTTCATGTGGTCGTCGGTGCAACCGTATAGATGGGACATTTGGTGCTCCCAATCTCACGGAAGCCAAGGACCAATGATATTGATCAGAATACTTATCTTGGGATGAAAATTGAAGTCATAAATTAGAACAACTTAAAAATCACTTAAAGACGACTAATACTGCCAGTCTACTACGGAGTATAATATCAGCAATGTACATAACTTAATTAAGATGAAACTATCCACAATCAGTACACAAAAAAAAAAAAAAAATGATAAACTTATTGCAATCCTTCTCCTACATTATTAGCCTTGTTACACTAATAGCCCTACTAATCACACCAAGCAGTTGCAAGACTAACAATTACCTCATCAACTGCGGAGCACCCACCACAACCTCCGCCGATAACCAAACATGGAACACCGATGAAAACCCAACTTTCGCGCCTTCAACATCCTACAAAGACAACACGAAAGTAGCCCACGTCATCAATGAGGATCCATCCTATTCAGGCAAACCCCCTTGTAGCGGAGCTCGCATTTTCCATTCACCTTTCACTTACTCCTTCCCCGTCTCACCCGGCCCTAAAATCGTGCGCCTTTACTTCTATACTTCTGCCACCTACGACAATACCTCCGTTGATAACTTCTTTCTAACTCTAAAGGCCGACGGAGGCAGTGGTTCCTTCACCCTTTTAGGTAACTTTAGCGCTTATCTTCACCAACAATTCTTCAAGAACTCTATTCCTTTACCTATTGTTGTGAAAGAGTTCCTTGTTATGGCTACCTCCTCGCGGCTCAACCTTACCTTTTCACCCACATTGACGGGCTCTTTGGCCTTTGTCAATGGCATTGAGATCATCGCGGTGCCAGACAACCTCTACGATTATTTCAACCCCCAATCTTCTGATGAAACATCATCTTCCAACAGGTATACAAAGTTTCAGACTCTAGTAGATTAAAATTAAAATAACACTCCGTATCTTTGTTCATTCTTTGGTAGTTGACATGTTTTAAATGTTGACACTATTCATAAATTCTACTTTAATTTAATTTAGAATTTTGATAAATATAGTGAAATGTGAATTTGTATAAATTGTTTTTATATATGTTTTCAAAATGTCAACTTATTAATTAAATTTCTAATTATTGATGATTGAAAATAATAATGGGTGAACTTGTACATTGATAACCATAATAAACAAAAGGATAAACTAAAAAAACAAAGGAAATACTTTGTCAATGTATATATACACATTTATGTCTTCGAGTAATGGACACTTCAAATATATTTGTATGTTTGGTAATTCAATCCCTTTGATGATTATATTTCAAATAACTAAATTTTTTACAAATAAAGTAGTTAAAAAAAAAAAATTCCCTCGCAACTAAATTAGGGCTTGTTCATATTTACTAAATTGGGCTGAACTGAACTAATTAGATTTGAAGTGAACTGAGCTGAACTGAACTGATTGGAGCAAAACTGAAATGAATATATTATGATAGAGGGAAATTAGGAGCTGAACTGAATTGAACTAATTGGAGCTGAGCTGAAGTGAACTGAAATTAAGTAAATGTGAACATGCCTTTAATGAATCAAATAAATACGAGTACTTGTATAATCTAATAAGTACCTTCAACCTCCCTTTATTCATGCTTTGCAATGTTTGGAAATTTACAATATTTACTCGTATATTATTCTATTTGACCTCTTTGTTTATGTATATGTTGAGCAAAATATAATCACATACATAAAGTCTATCCCAATTTAAATCTTCATAGTACCTAGCTAGGTTTTTACATTTTTGGAATTTAGAGATATAATTGGTCGAAAATATACATTGACAACCGTAAAAACTAAAAATGCGTTGAAACTAATTGAGAACAGATGATTGAAATATTTATTTACATAACCTAATAAAATTAATCTAAGTGATTATATTTTTACATAGGTCTCCACCGATAGGCTGTTTCCCAGCAAAGACTAACGTGGGCAGTCAATTACCATTCTCAATCTTAAGGCCAACAGCCTTAGAGACAGTGAGACGACTAAATGTTGGTGGCAGTGACGTGATTTCGGAAATGGACTCCGGCGGAATGTCACGGACATGGTATAACGACGCTAACTACATCGGCGGGAATTTCAAAGGTGCGATCCCTAACCCAAACAGAACCCTGATAACGGACATCTCTTACACAATAGTGCCCAAATACACTGCACCCAACCTCGTGTACTGGACAGCCAGGATCATGGGTCCTTACAATAACAGCTTTAAGTTGAAGAACAATATTACGTGGGCATTTTCTGTGGATTCTGGGTTTGACTACCTGATTAGGCTCCATTTTTGTGAGATTGATCCTAGTGTTACAAATAGACGTCAAAGAGAGTTTGAAGTTTTGGTAAACAATGAGCAGGCTGATAATGAGGTTGACCCCTTCCACTTGGGTAACAGTTTGCGGTCGACTCCGGTGTGTAAGGACTATGTGACTTCCATATATGAGGGTTCAAGCAAAGCTAGTCTATCAATTACTCTTCGTCCAGATACTGGAAGTTATCTCACGTAAGTTTGTTTATTCAATTTTTTTTCAAATTTTAATCTGATAATATTTTCTAAAAAATAATATCATAAGATAAGTTTAAGTGATGGGTAAGTCTTGTATGTGGCTAGCCACACGGTGTGGCAACATTAATTTATAAGAGTAATCTTAAAATCTCTAAATCAACCAATTAACTTTAGTCATTTTTTATTATTTTTATTTTGACGGGTTAGTCTTAAATAATTGCCTTTAGGTATCATGATGTGATATTAAATGGATTGGAAATTTTCAAGATGAGTCAACCAAATGGGAATCTTGCTGGGCCAAATCCTGTTCTCCCCGGCGATCCAAATAGGCCCAATAAGCCAAATTCGTTACCACCAAGAGGTGGTACAAACTCTAATCACTTAATTGAAATTCTGGTTGGTGTGCTAGGCAGCGTTGTTTTCATAGCCTTAGTCATTGCATCGGCATTTTGTTGGTTGTTGCGGGAATCAAGCCAAAATTACTGTAAGAGGCTCCTTCCATCCAATGGCTCCGGATTCTCCTCCACCAGCAGCGGCGGCTCCTCATTACCGTCTCATCTTTGCCACTGCTTCACGTTGCAGCAGATCATGGTCGCAACAAACAACTTTGATGATCATTTTGTCATTGGCGTGGGTGGATTTGGTAAGGTATACAAAGGATCCATTACAATAAATGGTAAGTTCATCAGTATATATGATTAATGATTATACTTTTTTTTTTTTTTTTTTTTAACAATTCATTTGCATACATCTAATACAAAATTGTTTATCAAGAGGAGCCCTTGTAGTATAATAATTAAAAAGCTTTTTTTGACTTTTTCAACCAAGAAAAAACACAAAATTGTTTTATATCACCAAACTTTTAAAAGTTTTATTTTACCTCCAACTAAAAATTTAAAATTTGTTTTTCACCACATACAATCAAAATATTAAAGTTATAATGTCAAGTGTTGTTATCTCGTGGTATGACTAAAAGTTTAGCTTTATATATTAGTAATTGATCATCAAATTCATGCGTACAAATTACTTAGCACCGTATTAACGAAACTTGTTGCAGGTGGAACTGAAATCATGGTCGCAATCAAGCGACTAAACCCATCATCTAAGCAAGGGGCTCTTGAGTTCCACACGGAGATTGTGATGCTAACAACACTTAGACACGTGCATTTGGTGTCATTGATCGGATTTTGTGACGAGAATGGTGAAATGGTTTTAGTCTATGATTACATGCCTCTAGGAACCCTTCAGGATCATCTCTACCATAAATATTCTTTTAGACACAGTGACAAAATGGATACCCCAATATATGCTCCCATGTCTTGGAAGCAACGACTCTTGACCTGCATCAGGGCAGCACGAGGCTTACACTATCTACACACGGGTACAGGGAGGGTTATCATCCACCGTGATGTTAAGTCCACCAACATCCTCCTAGACAAGAACTGGATAGCCAAAGTCTCCGACTTTGGCATATCCAAAGTAGGCCCCTCTATGAAAGAAGGGGCTCCTACATATGTTAGTACAATAGTAAAGGGTAGCATTGGTTACCTAGATCCAGAGTATATTCGGCTGAAGCAACTCACAGAAAAGTCCGATGTGTACTCATTTGGAGTAGTGCTATTTGAGGTCCTATGTGCTCGGCCTGCAATGATGCCCTTATTGCCAAACGAACAAGTAAATTTGGCTAGGTATGCAAAAAGATGCTACGAAGAAGGTACCCTTCATGAAATTGTTGACCCTAATGTAAGGGACGAGATTGCACCAGTGTGTCTAAGGAAGTTCGGAGAGATTGCTGAGATGTGTGTGCGTGATCAAGGGAGCAAACGACCCTCAATGGAAGAGGTAGTATGGTACCTAGAGTTTGCATTGAAGCTTCAAGAAACTGATGAAAACAACAATGAAATTACTACTAGTAGTATTATTCCTAATTGACAATGACAATGGAATGCGTCGTACTACCAGTGATTTTGAGTTGATCACCACCTCATAGGAAATAATAATCTCATCCCAAACTAGTTCTAATGATCCTATTATAACTACATACATTTATACATCCCAAAGTAGTTCTCTTTATATCGTTATCATAATTAAATTGTAGGTAGTCAACATTGCATAATCAAACTACAAACTATTGGATGAGGCAAGCACTATTTTTTCCCCTTCCGATGATATACTATCCGTCTGTTTATTTGATATGATTAATTGGTTGGATGATATTATTAATTGTATAAATGATATGATACATTTGTTGGATGATTATTTGTATAGATGATATCATATATTTTTTTTTTATGATATGAGTGTTTGTCAAGATGGTTTTTTATTAAATCTAATTAATAATTCGGTGGGGTAGAGGTTAATTAGAAGAAATAAGAAAAAATTAGAGTCTAGTTAAGTAAATTAGTGAGTCATTAAGGAAATAGGTTTACATTATGATGCTTTTAAAAGGTTTTTTCTAACAAATTTTCCTATGATTATTTATCTATAGAAAAATTTAGAATCTAGACCTCGAAATTAAATATCATGTTTTGATTTTCGTTCAATATCTCCTCTTATTTTGTGCAAAAGTCAGATCCATAATGTAAAAAAGTTAGAACCAAAATATTCAGCAAAATAAAATTTTGGAAAATTTGATAATTACCACCATCTATTATTTGTCAAAATTTAAAATATCACCTCAAGTTTTTTTTTTTTTTTTTTTTTTAATTTTACCACCTAGTTTTTTCCAAAAGTTTTAAAAACCCCACCACTTTGTGAGATGACGTCATAGTGAGACCTACAATGGCGTTTTCCATCTCTTTCCCTCGTTCTATGGATAACTATGGTCTATGGATGTTCGAAATTCGTTGCAAATACTCTGTAATTTCAACAACAAGGTTTTTTTTTTAACACAAAACGAAGAGAAATATATTACTAGCCCCTTGGGCTATAAATATTCAGTACAACAAAAGAGCAGCAAACTCTAACATTACCAAGGCTAATGAAAATTTTGGTAATGCTAGAAAACAGCTGAACCAAACTGTTTGGGTCCAATTTAGTCCAATTGGGCCTAAGCACTAAATGATCCAATTAAAAGCCCAAGGTCAAGGTTCAACTCTCCAATTGTGCTAAAGTCAAAGGTCAGCCCACAAAGCAAGCCAATTGGGCTAAGGCCCAACCTCTCCATGTATGATGAGGTATAAAAGCCATCATATTGATACATTCAAAAGGGGGGGATTCATTCTGATTCATTGATAGATTCATATGTTCATTGATATATTCCATAAAAGCCTCAAGCAAAAAACTCTTTTGCATAGTGTCTTCTTCTCACACATTGTACTGACTTTAGCATCGGAGGGGCCTTCCTCGGCAACACCCCCGAGACTAGTTTACGTGTGTTTACTGTGCAGGAAACCTTCGGCCCAACATAACTTGGACCGAATCCAGCCTTCTCCATTTCAGCGGACCTTCGGCAAGGTCCCATTGTTTTCACCCGAAACAATTTGGCGCCGTCTGTGGGGAAGACTTTCAAAAATCTTTAAGCCAAATACCTAACCAAGATCATCTTGCAATTATCTTAGCAGCAATGGCTAAGAACCGCAAGAGCAAAAGCCTCCGTCAAGGAGCGGGCGAAAAGCCTAAAACCCCTACACCATCGCCCTCGCCGGACCGGAACTCTCCCAAGGGTGCCGGCTCGGGGGGAGGATCATACAAGGAGGATTCCCTATCTCCCGTAATTCATGACTCTCAATATAGGCCGGGCCACTCTCGGTCTAGCAGGGGTGAGTCCGATCATAGGACATATTCAGTGTCCCAAAGCCAACCATCGGCTGCGCGCCCTCATTCCCACACTCGGCCGAGGACCCCTTTGACGGGGCCCAGCTCGGAAGAGGTGGCCAGAGCGCTGGCAGTACTCATGGAGGCGATGAGGGCACAAAATATGTCACCACCTCGTGATCGAACTCCTCCGCATACCCGGCATCAGCGGAGGAAGTTAGACCATGATGGTGGGAAGCTTCCTTCCTTCCGGGAACTGGAAGAGTGGGAGGAGGATTCTTGGAAAAATGAAAAACAGAGGAAAAAGAACCCTCAATTTTTAAAAGGATCCTCATCCTCAAGACCAGAAGCGCATAAGAGCAGCAGCTCAGCTTCTCGGCCAGAATCTACTCACCGAGAACCTGAGACTGTTCGCAGAAGCGTCCTTGACCGACTCGGCGGCCAGGAACCGAGTGTGCGTAGTCGCCTCTCGTTCCCTGCAGCCGAGGCCCAGACTTCCCAGCCAGGGACGAAAACCACTCCTACCTCTCTAAGAGGGCGGAGCGCGGTCCCTTCGGCCAGGAACAAGGGCAAGGCCGTTATGCTACCCGCTAGTTCACCATTCGAGCAATGGATACTGGAAGAGCGCGTACCCACGGTTAAAATACCGTCGCACATCACATATGACGGGACCACGGATCCGAAGGATCACGTGGCCTCGTATGAGACTCATATGCATCTTTGCCCCAGATCCGAGGCGACTTGGTGCAAATATTTCCCAACCACTCTCAAGGGGGTCGCGCAAGCGTGGATCTCCAAGGGAGTAAGGCAAGGCTCCGTAACAGGGTGGGATGATCTGTCCTCCAAGTTCAGGAGCAAGTTTTCCACGGCAAACCGCCGAGAGAAGACTACCGCAGAGCTCATGAGTCTGCAACAGGGGGAAACCGAAAGCCTCCGAGACTACTTGACCCGTTTCAGTAACGACTCATCAAGCGTCTCCCAGCTGGACCAGGGGCTAGCCGTTTTCGCAATGCAGAATGGCCTTCAGCCAGGAAAGTTCCTAGACTTCATGGTCATGCATACCCCGCAGACCTTGGAGGAAGCTCTTAGTGCTTCGGATAAGTTCATCCGAGCCGAAGAATGGAACAAAGCGAAAACCCAACCTCAATCCGGGGGAGGGAAACAGAGGCAAATACCCTTGTCTGAAGGCCAAGGCCATAAGGCAAAGGGAAAGTCAAAGGGCCCGGAGCAATCTTTGGCCAACGACCCAAAGAAGGAAAGATTTGCCTCATACACAGGCAGATACGAGTCCTACACTCCGCTCTCTCTTCCACGCGCCAAAATTTACAGTGTGACGAAGGAGGAGCAGAGTTACCGAAAGCCGAGACCACTCCCAGAGTGGTATCAGCGAAAAAATAAAAATCAGTGGTGTGAGTTCCACGAGTCTTCGGGCCACAACACTGAGGAGTGTATCCAACTGAAGGACCAGATAAAGGACATGGTCCGGAAGGGATACTTGAAAAAATACATCGCGGATCACCGCGAGAAAAAAGAATCCGAGAGGTCAGCAAAGGACCCTCGGCAGGACCTTGACTTCCCCCGGAAAAACAGTAAAAAGCCGGAGGGGAAATTCCCTCCGATCAATGTTATCTCAGGAGGAATATACTCTCGGAGGGAGCACAAGCGCCACCTTAGAGCTTTGACTCACCAGGTGAACAACGCTGACATTCAATCTCCCCAGTCGCCGGTGCCGAACATGACGTTCACAGCCGCCGACTGCCGGGGGATTACATTCCCTCATGAGGATCCGTTGGTGATCATCGCCACGGTGGCCAACCACGACGTCAGTAAGGTCCTTGTTGACGGTGGCAGTGGAGCAAACATTCTGTTCCGGAAGGCCTACAATCAAATTAAGCTGAAGCCCAAGCACCTTACGCCGGTACCCTACCCGGTATCCGGGTTCAATGGGGCTTCAACTTATCCAGATGGGAAGGTGACACTTCCTGTCACCATCGGTTGCGATGAGGCAGCCCGGAACGTCATGATTGAATTTTTGGTCATCGACGCTCCTTCAGTGTACAACGTGATTTTGGGGAGACCCATAATTCACGAGATCCAAGGGGTCGTCTCAACTTATCATCAGCTGATGATTTACGTCTCAGACGCCGGCTTCCCCGAAAGGATACAGGGCAACCAAAAGGACGCCCGAAGGTGCAACTACCTCAAGCCATCCAGTAGTCGCCCAGATGACGACAAGGATGAGGAGGAGAAAGAAAAAGAAAGAGAGCCAAGCACAAAAAAGCCGAAAGGCCTAAGTGCTTCGGCCCAAGGATCTGTACCCAGAGGTAAAGGGCCCGAAAGGGAAAAGGCTAGCTCCTCAGCTGAGCCGCAAGACTCAGAGAGCCAGCCAAAGAACAAAAAGACTGGGACACCTGCTGACATTGGCAGCAGGCCAGATTATGAAGAGTCCAATCCATCAGCAATGGACATGGACCAACAGACTGAAACAGTTGAGTTGGCCGAAGGAGACGCTGAGAAATGTGTAACAATCGGGATGGACCTTGATCCGAACACCCGTTGCGAACTTATTCAGCTCCTTCGGGATAACAGAGATGTGTTTGCTTTCTCGGCAGCTGATATGCCTGGGATAAGTTCAGACCTCATCTCCCATAAGCTTAATGTTGACCCGACGTGTCGACCAGTTAAGCAAAAGAAGCGGAATTACTCCGCCAATAAGAACCGAGACATCGCAGCCGAGGTCAAAAAATTATTGGAGGCAGGATTCATCGAACCTTGCCAATATCCAGAATGGCTGGCAAATGTGGTGATGGTTCAGAAGCCCAATGGTACCTGGAGGATGTGCGTTGACTTCACGGACCTAAATAAGGCTTGTCCAAAGGATTTCTATCCTTTGCCGAGGATCGATCAGCTAGTCGATTCGACAAGTGGCCATGCCTTGCTTAGTTTCATGGACGCATTCTCGGGGTATCATCAGATCTTTATGCACCCCGACGATCGAGCAAAGACAGCATTCGTCACGAACGCTGGGGTGTACAATTACAAAATGATGCCTTCGGATTGAAAAATGCGGGGGCAACCTATCAAAGGCTGGTGGATCAAGTTTTCGCCGATCAAAAGGGCTGAAACATGGAAGTCTATGTTGACGATTCGATCGTCAAAAGCAAGAAACTAGAGGACCATGTAAAGGACCTGGCTGAAACTTTCGCCACCTTGAGAAAGCATCAAATGAAGCTGAATCCGAAGAAGTGTGTCTTCGGCGTGAAGTCAGGGAAATTCCTGGGGTTCATGGTCAGCAAAAGGGGGATTGATGCCAATCCCTCTAAAGTCAAAGCGGCGCTCGACCTTCCTGAGCCGAAAACGAAGCGGGATGTTCAGCGGCTCACCGGAA